CTTTGTTATAGCTTTCCAAAGAAGCTTGTCTGGCTGATCTACAAGCTTTTTTTCATATGTAAATTCTATAGTTGTATTCTGTCGTTTGTATTGATTCGGATAAGGAAAAAACTGTTGTGAATTTTGTAGATTTGCTATCGATCCATAATACTCCTTTAGTCTATTAACCCCCAAACATAAAGCTTTGAATAGTTGTGCCACTCGCTCTGTGTGATTTCGAATATTTGTAGGAATGAGAGGTATGAAGTCTGTTAAGAAATCTACGATAGGTTTCTCAATATACACAGCTCCTAAAATACACACCCAAGGTCCAGCTAAGTATAAAATAAAAGACGGCCAGTTGCACCATTTGAGCAATTCCTCATTTTTCTTCTAAGTATAATATTTCGCATAAGAAGTTCCAGCCTAGATAGTCAGATCACATTTACCAGTGCCAATTTCATTTTTTATCTCAGCAAGTAGGCGTAATACACTAAATGAATAGAAATTATATTCCAATATACCATCATTTGAAGATTCATCATCTAGACAAATTATTTTTAATTCTTCGCCAAATAATTGTTGAAATTTTTCTTTAAATTTTTTAGAACGCTCAAGTTCACTAGGATATATGTCTGCCATTTCATTAATGAACTCAAAAGTCCATTGATAATGTTTTTTTTCATCTCTAGATCTTTGTTATGATAATCACGCAGGAACTGATTGAAAATATCATGGTAAACTTGTACCGGTAGGCCAACACATTCTGGAGAATGGTGAATAAGTAACTGCTTATCCTTAACATGATATTTAATAAGATTACCAAGAAGTGCAAAGGATGATGGGGGTAGATAACTCCGAATCTTTTTTACGTTTTTTTCTTGTTCTGTACAGATTGAAAAAGTGGTTGAGTTTACAAAATTCTACAGACGCAGACATACATTATACAACCAACCTTTTTTATAGTTATCTACTTCGAAAAAATGTCGCTTAGTAGCTGATGAAGATCTGTATTACAAAAATTATTAGTTATGTCAGAAGCACTCTACATAATAGTTTGCATACTATGAATAGATTCTCTTATGAGGTTGCAATCTTCTCTCGCTAAAGTGTTATTAGTTTTTCTTCTAATTCTTTTATTTTCTGATCTTTTGCATCTGTACCTGTATAATAAGTATGAGGCCCAAGTTAATAAATGAAATTATTGCAGAGAAAGCAGTATAGGTTTGGAATATTCAAATGCAGTCATAGTACTACTTACCCTGGTCCTCGCCCTTGATTTTTTTAATCACTTTTAAGATTTTTCAGCTGGTTCTAGTTTTACATCAGCTTTTATTAATTTATCCATG